GACATACTCGGTCTTATAAAACTTCTATATAACAATTTCCTGAAATTTTGCCTTTAACTCCTTAAATTCAATAGAAGCCATTCTTTTTCAGGTTTGAGAATCTACTACATTAACTAGGAAGGTTTGACAACCTTGTCGTACTAACTTCTTAACAATTATTACTAAAATCACGCTAATTAATAAATTTACATTTACCCTTTTACTAATCACTTATGATTTCAAAACCTTTCGGGTCCTTCAAAATCATTCACTTTAAGCGATAGTTCATAATGGTAGGGTAGGGCAAATAACCAATTCATTCACAAGATTATCTCAAATTCTTGAAAAGATTATTTCATTAAATTTGTTGAAAACTAAATTCCTTAAATCACTAACGGACATACTCTACAAATATGACTCACTTTAGCACTCTGACCCAAAAGGTTAGCCACCGCTTTTTCTTTAACTAACTTAGTGCTTATATACAAATACGTGAAACCAAAATCAATTACAACAGATGTAGGTTTGTCAGAAGATAAAATACACCTGCGATAATCTCAGAATTATCTTTATATTCTACAATCTCTGAATCATATTCATCTTCTTGAGACATAAAAATTGACTTCTCTACATTTATTTCCTTATTTTTCTCATGAGTAAGTTGTGGCCACATCACCGCTTCTTCCTCATTATAAGCAGGAGCATTCCACCCAGAGAATGGAGGAAAATCTCTCACAGTAATACGAATTACTAAAGTCTTCCTTGTTCGATTTATGACAACTAAAATATCAATATTTTTATTATCATTTTTAACTTTCTTTCATTTTCTCTTATCTTCAGACATCTAAGTAAACACATATTTAAATCACATTAGTAAGGAGCAGCATCAATTAAATCACAATCACCAGATCAGTAATGTTGACATCCTAGTGGCATGTATACATTTTTCAATTCAAAACATACTTGGTTTAGGCCTAGAATTGACTAAACCTGGAACTCTGATACCAATAAATGTAACACTCATTTCCCGTATGCAGTAGTGTTACTGCATACAAGTCCAGGATATCACATATAATTTACAAATCAATTTTTTTCGAAAACCGGTAAAATTTTGTTTCTTTCTAAAATAAATCAATTATACTAAGAATCATAAAATATTTTAATAAAATGATAGCATTGAAAATCATTTTCACTAAATACTAGATAATAAACTATCATTCATAAATAGTATTAATCAATATCATCCATTTAAAACCAAATAAAAACTTTTGGAGTTCTAAGTACCATAACCATGTAATATACATGCCAACTAGTATTATCAATATTTAAAAGATGTCATACTGATTCTGGAGCATATGTGATCTTCAAAAGTTAATATTGGCCTAAATCCTTACTCTGTATGCTTACTTTTACCTGCACGTGAAAATCATCACACGTTAAGTATACACTTAGTGAGGCATTATAATATTAATAGTAAGACATTTGTTTAATAAAATATAAATCATGTATCATAATAAGAAAATGTTATATATAAAAACGTTTAATAAAATCAATATGATTGATCAAAGTCATTTTCATATAAAATTCACCTATAAGTCAACAGTTCACATATAAGGCATTCAAAGCCAAATCAAAGTTCTCGATGAAAACTTGGCATTCAATAAAATCTATCAAACCTGCATATTTCACTTTCATTTCAATTCACATCCCAATGTAAATCAATGAGAATGCACGGTATGAGAGTCCAATGAGAATACACTATAATCATAAGTATTGTAGAACACAGTATCAATGTGCCACTTTTAGGAATACATCACACTTTTATCCCATATGTGCAGGCATTACCGTCACGTCGATGTCAATCTCGTTCCACAAAATGTATTCCCGATACTTTAGCACAATCGTCACACAGACGTCAGGTTATGTGCTAAGTACCAACATACCACCATAACACAGACGTCATGTTACATGTGCAATATCATGTAATAGCACCACCGTCACACTTTTTACTTCATGTAACGTGCTAAAAATATAATGCAGCTGCAAGTGGCACCACCATCACACACGTGACGTCAAGTAACATGTCAGGTATCATATAATGCTCTAACCCTATGGCATGCCAATTATACCTATGACTCTCAATGCATTTACAATGGGCATATCTTTTATTTCACATATCATTCACTTTTCAAGGCTCTTTACCATAATCAATAAAAGTAATTATCATTAACAATATAAAATATGGTGGACAGTTCATACCCGAAATCATTCAAAGAAATCATTTGACAAAGAAATATTTTATTTTATTTTATTTTTATTTCAGGTCCATCAAGAGTCTAACAAAGTCCAAATTCAGGTCCAGTAAGCGAGCCCAACAGAGACATGCTAGCCTGAGCCAGCAAAGCAGGCTCAGTTAGGGGGCCTGACCCAGCCCAACAAGAGTTAGGGTTTTTTTATCAAGCAAGGGTGACGCATAGGGATATCAACAGCGTGCATGGAGGCTACGCAAGATGGTGTCGAGAGCTGGTTGGATTTTTGGCACCCCGAAACTGGAAATCACAAAAATCAGAACAGTGAGCAGATCTTCTCCTCCATTTTTGATGAAGAAATCAACAAAGAACCAATAAACAAACATGCAAAAAATCAGGGCAGAGAGGGGATCTCCTTCCTCTTTTTCGCTGACAGAATCAACAACACGGCACGATTCAAACGTGCCCCAACAGATTCAAGGATAGGCCACCGGGATTCAGGGGAAATGATTTCCCCTCGGTGACTATAAAACCTCGCTGAAACAAAGCCAAAAACACAAGAAAAAGCACCAAAAAGCACACAAAAAAATTCAAGGTTATCTGTCTAGCGTCGGAAAAGGAATGGTCGTCGGGGAAAGCAAGAAACTATCGTCGAAAAAGGTAAAGTCGACCTTTATGTTTAGATCTACGTCGGTGGGGGGATTTTTAGGGGATTTAAGTCTCAATTTAAGGCTCACAGGAAGGGGAAGAACATTTTGGGTCGATTAGATTTTTTTTTCGTTGGCCAGAGTGGCGGACGAGCGGTGGGCGATCACCAGTTGGTGGCTAGTTTTCGGCCAGCCATAAGAGAGAGGGGATAACATAATTTGTAAGAGAGAGGCTTGAGTTTTGAAAAATGAATTGGAAATGAATGAATTATGTAATTTAAAGGCTTTATATAGGGGACTATTTTGTAATTAGTAGAAAATTAAATTATTTTCGCAATCCCTACAGTTTTGATGCGGAGTTCATTTTGGTCACCTGTTATAATTGTGCCTTTGAATTTTTGAATTTATTCAATTTGATCCATGTTTCTATTTTCTATATTTATGCAATTAACCCCCGCTAACTTTTATTTTCTCCTTGCAGCTTTCAATTAATCCAATTTGATCCTTGATTTTTAATTTTTCCAATTTAATCCTTTTAATTTAAATTTTCTTTTATTTCTTTTATTTATTTCATTTTTTATTTCACTTTATTGTAGCCCTAATATTAACTCTTTGCATTTTTTGTCTTGTCTTATTTTATTTTATTATTTAACATTATTTTTGACTTTTTAGGGACAATTTTGATCGATCAAAAATAAGTAATTCGGATTGAATTTTAAATTTTAATTTAACTTTTAATTTTCGCAATTAAGACAACTGTGAAATTATGTTGGTACCAAAAGGGCAGTACAAGGGTGCTAATCTTTCCTTGACTATAATCGACTCCCGGATCTGATTAATTTTTGGTAAAACACAGATCAGGTAAATGATAAGTTAAGGTGTCCGGTCAATCTAATTGTAAATTATCGGTGGTGGCTCTAACACATTGAAATTAAGTCGAAACCCGATTATGGGCTCACCCGAAAGACGGTTACGATATATATATATATATATATAAATTATGAGTTATATTCATTTAGTTACATTTTAAAATATTGTATGTATATTTATATTTTGAAATTTAAAATCATGTATTTATTTCATCTATATTTGATTTAATGTGATCTTATATAAGATAAACATGATAACTAAAAATTAAGGGAATTATTTTGATTTTTTTTAATTTTATTATCTAAAAAATATAATTGATTAATTACAATTTATTAACGGTTAACTGATGGTTAACCATTTATTAAAATTCATTAACCATAACCGTTAATCGATATTTTTAATAATTCGATTAACCGAAACCATTTAATCTTCTTAATTTTTATAATATTTTTGATCGTATCTATCCTCGTTATTAAATTGGACTATCTTTCCTTAACTCCTCACTCGAGAGACGACGGACAATTAGGAAGCAAAATGAGACGACGGACAATTAGGAAGCAAAATGAGACGACGGACAATTAGGAAGCAAAAAGTTATGAAAGTAAAATAGTTGACATGGTCGTATCTTGTCATGCAAAAGCTCCGCCCTGAAATTTGTTTTTGCCTCAAAATTTCTCTTTTTAGTTTGTTTTTTTAAATAAATGCAATTTGCTTTGATGCATACCCTCTAAATTATAGTCTCCCTATTTTTGAAATTATTTTATAAGATTCCGAGTTTTTAAAGGGAAAAAAGGGTTAATTATTTATTCTCTTCTTCTCATTTATTTATTATATAAACTTTATTATCGTTAATTCTTTAAATTAAACACTTCATAGCAGATTCTCGTGGCGGATTTCCCTACCACTTTTATTTTTGGGTTCATCTCCAGCAATTACCTATATTTACCCCTCAGTTTTTATTCTGCAAATTTATCTTCTTCGCATGGTAAGCCACAGTTTTGTGTTGCTCAATTTGAATCTTTTTATGGTTTTCCAGTGAATTCTTGGGGTTTAAATTCTTCGTCCCCTTTTTAAGGGTTACATTTAATTTAATCTGCGACTGCTTTTGTTTTCAGGTAAGCTTGACGATATTGAAAATTTATTCCATTATTTGGCGTTAGAGTTTGGTTTTTATCGGAGAAACTTGGTGTTCAAAGCAGGAGTTTTGGTAATTGAAGGCGATTGGCCGCAATCAAACCGGGTCAGTGTTGGTTAACAAATAATTTCAGTCTCTAATATTGCTCCTAGTGGCGTGTATTTTCTTCAGAGGATTTTGCTTCTTTTTAGCTTTGCATTTTATGCTTTGAAGATATTTACGTTTCTATGTTATGGTCATTCTTGTTATAAAGAATGGATATTGTGATGAATTGTAGGGTAGTTAAGGGTATTTGGTTAGAGAATCCTGAATATCTTAGAGAGTGAACAAGCCCACGTCTAACGGTTGCTTAGAATTGGCGTTCAACAGAATTCTGGGGACAAAAATGCCGATGTTACAACCCACTGATCAAGTGGGTACCCTCATTCTCCTGCATTGCATCGTTGCGACGTTGTGCCTAAAAGCCTGTATTGTTCTCTTTTGGCGCCCAACAGCCGTTCAAGGATTTCTTACCAGAAAGTTTGCCTCCTTGGAAACGAACCCAGGACCCCTTACTTATAGGAATCCTTTCCACGACCATGGTACCATTGGTTTAGATCAAATGGTCTCCTATACGCTATATGTAGGAGGTCTTGGATTTGAACCTTGGGAGGCACACTTTCGAATAACAATCCCTTGAGGAACTGGCGGGTACCCAAAGAGGATAAAATCGATTACGTTCATGATGCCGGCATAACATTGTGTGGAGAAATGAATGTACCTGATCTGTCGCTGGATCGTGACAGTTGTGGTAAAGGAAAATATTAAGTGTAAAATTGCATGGTTCTATTATTTTTCAGTTCTGGCAATGTGAATGTGATTCTCACTTTATGCCAAAGATATCTCTCTGGCAGCATAGAAATAAAGTGAGTATATATTTTAATCCTTTGATTTATTACAGAGCTCTTCCCTCATAAACAACATTTTTTCTAATGTTACGCGATGCCAGATTTTTTTTTTGTAAAAATAAAAGTTAACAATCATTGAACTGATTTTTAACTTGTTCCATATGGTGGATGATTCCAACTTTGGAAGCCTTATTGGCACATTTTCCTCATAAAGACTAGGCATCAATGGATGGACAGGGATCTACCTGTAGGAACTGAGGCATTAATTTTCCGGTGAGTATTGACCCTGTAAAATACATCTGAAAGTCTAACTATGTACATTTTACTAAATAAGAAGATCCATCCGTGTTGATGCCTGTAGACAAGCAAAGATGCATTGCTCATACTTTAGACATTTCTTCTTTTTGTTTGTCAGACAGCTTACGGTACTTGCTTATGATAATGTAAAATGCCCTTATAATTTTTATATTCACTGTAGGACATTTGTTGATTGTTCTATTGTTGTGTAGTTTAACTCATGCATTCATTTCCTGACTGGCTTAAGTACTAGTAATATATCTTCTTCATGAAGAAGGAAACCAAGGCTGATGATGGTGCTCAAAGAATACTGGATTCTCAAATTTAGATTTTATGGCACTTATTTAGTAATCCATCAGTGAGAATTGTGGTCATTGGATTAGTACTTTCCATGTCCTGTTCTTGGACTAGATGAAATTAAGACCTTGGAACTATTTTTAAGATCTGAGTAAGATGTTTGTTAGCTTCGTAATTAACAGCAAGCTATTAGTAACTTTAGATGATATGCTTATTGCATGCTGAACTCTGTTGGAGCTTGAATGTGTTCTCTAGTCGAGAAAGCAATACAACCCTGCAAAATTGCTTAAAGCCTCATCTTTTATATTCTTGAGTGCAAAGTGATGGGGTTTAATTGGCTTGTGGCGAACTTTCGTATGTACAGAAATATTCTGGTTTGATTGGAGCCTTCTTGAATTCTGGTTTAATGATATGTTTTCTTTGTAAAATCCCAAGTGTTTGTGTACTAATTTAGCTTTTAATTTTACCTGTTGCTTTGTCGGACTGAAATTTTTACAGTTGGAATGACGGTTTTGTTTCAGGCTCAGTTGTGTTATGATTTAGGCCACTTAGCCTCTTGTGTTACTTGTCAATATGAACAACCAATATGGTGAAGGTCAAGTAAGTCGATGAATCTTGTTGGTTTTTTAGACCATTAGAAAAAGATTTGCAGAGATCAAACATGCAGTCTTTTTGTACAGGATGAAGCAACTGTCATGGGGTTTGAAGTGCCAAGGTCACCTGATTCTAGTTATAATAATGTGTACCCTGGGAACGAAGATGACGCACGTGACCCGCCACTTGTCCCTCCACAGCTGCATCGTACCTTGCTTAGGTACCCTGCTAGCATGAACGCATCTGGGGATCTTCCTTTCCCCGACAACGTGATTCTAAATCATCTTTACATTGAAAACCGAGAGCCACCAAGATCTGTAGTGGCACTTGGATTCACTCAACGTTTTCGTTCGAAGTATGTTACTCTTGTGCTATACAAGCCGGTTCCAAGAAGAGGAAGTAGCAGTACTTAAGATATGAAACGAGAACAGACTTTCACGTCGGGTTGGTCGGCTTGCCCGTGTGATTGGAATTAGTTGCAATAGACTCTAGTACAAGTATTAGCAGAAAGAATATTTATTGGTTTCGCAGCATTTGGCTTGAAGGTTTCCATTCAATCTGAAAGTCGAGACTGGGAAATATATAAGAAAGCTTTCTTTCTTTCTTTATTTGTTTATATTAAAATACAAAACTCTTTATATCTATTTCTTTAACCTGTATTGTGGCCTTGTATTTTAGGGGCATTTAGTCAATGGAGTCCTTCATTTTGAAGGGATATGCCTGTAATTTTATGGCTTTATGTTGTGTAATCAAATAAGAAGACTTTTTTCCCATTGTGATGCTATCTTCAACCATATTTCCACCCCAAGGAACAGTAGAATATTTGTTGCTTTAATCACTAGGTGTAAGTAGAAGCAAGAAAAAGAGAGGATTTCTATCATGGAAGGAAAATACATATTTTTACCAGTAGAATTTTTGGAAAACCAGTAAGCGTGGGATCAGTTCATGACAAATCCTAGAAGAAATTCTAGACGAACAAAATAAAAAACTTTCAGTGTTAATGCTATATATATATATATATATATATATATACTATCTGATATAATTAATGTGTATAAATATTATACAAATATTTACTCGATGTATTTAATTTTAGTTTTGCCTCTGATTTTAAGTTTGTTTGTAAAATTTGTACTTTTCGATAAGTGATCTTAATTGTTAAAGAGTGTTGTTTTCTCTTGAGATCCTGAATTTAAACATTTGTATCTGCAGGATGTGTCCGTATTATCAATAATTAAGAAAAAAATTATAAATAAATACTATACTATTTAAAAATTATATTTTTTCATTATAATGTACCAAATAAAATTGTGTTGATTAAATATATAAAACCTTCACTTTGTCCTTTTAACTGGTATTTGTGGTGTTGTGCGTTTTTACGATGCGTAAATAATTGTTTTCGCTAGACAAATGTTTGTATTAAGAGAAACGGTTAAAAAATTTATAAATTGGTCAAACTATAAACACAAAATATATTGAAAGAACAAAAACTAATTAATACCAACCACACCTAAATACCACCAAACCATCAAGAATAAAATACTAGATTTGTGAAAACGTACCTGAATTAATTGATAGGTTGAAATCTTTGAGTCTTTCTTTGGTTGTGAACTTTCAAAAATATAAGTTTTCTCTTGCCGTAAAAACTATCTTACGAGATAAGAGTAATACAAGTTTAACATATTTCTTGGGACCACTACCTCTTTATATAGATTGAATATTATGTCAATCTTTTAGGTATTGATAATTATACCCCTCATCCAATTATAAATACGACTTATGGTATCTACACCTTGATTCCATGACACTTTAATACATATAACACATGTAACATATAGGTCACTTAATTTTGTGTCATACTTTATGATAACATTGTACATTATACATATGTGCCCACAAAATTGGATTTTAATCCAACAATCTTTCACTATGACAACAAATGTTTCTTACTAATGTTCAACCTTAAGAGCTCAAAATTTGCTATCATATAATTAGTATTTTATAACAATCTCGTCCATCAACTATATCCATATACGATCAAAGCGGCATTTTTCATATCTATCATGACTAGACCCATCAATGGTTACGTATACAAACATAGTCAAATGAAATAAATCAATCATGGAGTGTAGCATGGAAATTACATGCAATGTGAACCACACATGTCTATTTCCAACTAGTCCTCTTTAAACATTAAGGAGATCAAATTTTATCAAAATCAGAGTGCGGATAAACCAAAATAAATCTTATTTCTACAAAAAAAATAACTTTAATATAAATATCCTTAAACTGAAGTAACTGAAATTGTGTCTATAACAAACGAGCATTAATATTACAAACTTCCACTAAAACCAAATATACTTAAATGATATTACACACCCACATGAGTAGTGTGCTCATGAAAGACCTTGGGTGACAGTTCTTTAGTATGTGCGTAGTTATGAGTTTGTACCAACATGCTCTATAAACACATAATCATTTTGAATTTTCTTTAACAAACAAAAACGTAATGTCTATGTGATTTCACTTAAGGTGTTTCTGTTATATATGAAATAAATGACTACAACTTAGTTGTCACAAAATAACTCAAGTGGTCTTTCTTATTAATCCATAATTAGCAGTTCATATGATAAAATTTGGCATCCATATTCCATTAAGTCGGAGTCTATTAAACCTAATGATCTCTTACTTACTAGACCTATGATATGTAAGCATGTAACATTTTTGTTCTTAAATGTATTGTATGAATCAATTTGGTTGCTATCCAATGATTCATACCCAAATTGCTTAAATATCTGCTTAATATCCTAAAAGCATACGCTATGTCTAGTGCGTATAAATCTGATTATTCATTAAATTTTTTTTTTATTTTAAAGTATAAGGAACCTTTTACATTTCCTTATTTTCAAAATCATCCTTAGGGTACTGATCAAGACTAAACTTGATTGCTTTAGCAATAAGGGGTATTATTTGGTTTACTCCCACTGAACTTATAGTATATACAATTATCAATCAAATTCATCTCAAAACCAAACGAGATAATCACTTGGTGGAATTTGTTATACAATTAACGGGAGTCATACTTAAACTCATAAATTAATTTCCCTAATTTTCATATCATTAATTTTTGTATCATTAGATAAAATTTTATATTTTCATTGTATAAAATATTTCATCAATGTTACCACTGACCATTTTGAAATCCAATTTATATAACTCAAAAAATGAGCAAAAAGTATCATAATTATCCTGAAAGAGCCTTTCAATGAAATAAAAGAGAAAGTCTCCACAAAATTAATGCATACTTTATGAGTATATCTTTTATATACAAGACATGTCTTGTACTTGTCAACATCACTATTTGCATCAATCTTGACTATAAATATTCATTCATAACCAATCAACTTTGCACCTTCAAGTAATAGGATAACTCTTCAAACTTTATTATCCTGTATAAAACGTATACTCTTCTTACTTGGCATTAATCCACTTTTGAGAGTCATAACTTTAATGAAATGACGAAAGTTGATTAGATAATCTTTCATCATTCTATTGTTATCCTTATTTCTTCTAGAAACATAATAATCTAAAATAATATTTATCTTATCTCGTGGATCTTCCTAATGACACTTGTTCTTTCAGGTTGTTGAGTTTGTTCATCCGAAATGATTTCTCATCTTAAATGGAGAGTTGCTCAAAATAACCTTATTGAGATTATAGATTCACTTCTTGATTAGTGACATGCATGAACACATGGATATCACCAAAAGTGATAATAAGAATTGAGTTATAATCAAATTCCTTCTCAAAATCAATTCCTTAATCCTTATTTCTCCCTCAAAACTCAACATCCTAAAAGATAGTGTTATAAATCTCACCTTAAAAATATTTTTAATTATAAGATCATAAAACTTATAACCCCTGGACCGCTAAAAATAACCATAATAATTACTTACTATTTTAGAATTTAAGTTCTCCTCATATGTCCCAACTTAACTTAAAAGAGAATAACCCTTTGTAACATATTATTGTCTCTTTTAAGTTGAACCTTAACAACTACATTCTATTTTTTTTTTTTTTGCCCTTATCTTTATATGCACTTTTCAAGTGAATACTTTTAGACTTATTATGATTCAACCTTTCTTCCTCTTGCACACAAAGAAACATGAACTCATTTAGAGTTCATTTATCCCTTCGAGTTCCTTAAACTTTATAGGAAGCGATACTGAAATCACAAGAATAAGTAATTCTTTAGAAAAACTCAATCTTAAATGTCTTAAGTTTTGAAGCAATATGAAATATATCCATAATGTATTTCCTCACATTTCATTGACCCTTATACTTTATAGACATCAAAGATGTCAAAAGTGATGTCATTTAAACCTTATTGTTTTTGGGGGGGAAATTCTCAATTTCGTCAAGGAAACCATTAGCCTTAGTAATCTTTTCATATTATGTGCCCCTAAAGTATTCTAAAATGTTGTGTCTCATGCCCACTAGACTTATGCAATTTAAACCAATTTTACCTCTCAAAATCCCTTATACCAATTAAGATTGTTATCCCCTATGAGAGGTGGAAATTGTTCTTTCCTTAGTGTAAAGTCTATGTTCATACAACCAAAACCTTATGTAAGTGAATTTTTCCAATCATTCATATTTACTTTCCTAATTGCATTTTTCCATAGAGAAGATATTGTGGTAGCAAATAAATAAATCATTTAAATATATAACAAAACACAAATAAAATGAAGCCCACATCTTAAGTAAACAAATAAATTTAAAATTATGTCTAATTCTCATCACAAGATACCAAACACTACATCAATATCCCTTGGACAGTAATATCAATAGTAAATTGTACTCTTGTTGTAGTAATCAAACATTGAAAATAAGTTATGTCAAACAAATGACTAATCTTTGGACTAATCTAATGCTCACATAAAATAAATACATTATAATTGTCACATGTTATTACCACATGTGTCACTTGAAATCTGGCCAAATACTAACTTTCCTTTGGTCAATTAATAAACGCATGAATCACAATAAACGCATAATCATCTTGATATTTCAAATAAATCAGTCTACACAAAAGAGATCACTTTTACGACATTTTGTTTTAACAAATCTACTAAAATATCATGCTTAACCAAACTATATTGCACATATTGCTTTAACAATATAAATAAAACTATAGAAATATTGTCAAGCAATCAATTTCTCATAATTTATCTTTCAATGAAATTAAAAGATACTAAAATAAATTTGAATACACTTAAACCTTATCTTAAGATATCAAATATTCCATTAATATTTCATCTTTAGACAAAATATTCACCTTAAGTGATATCTGATGTGGTAACCAAACATTGATAATAAGAATATGTTAAGCACAAATCTTCATTTGGGTCGACTTATTACTCACACATCAAGCCGAATAATTATCACAAGCATATTACCAAAGTTGTACATGCAATTATGTCAACTATTAATATTTCCTTGGGTTGATTAATACTAACATATCCTAAGGTAAATGTACATAACATTTATATTTAAAAAATATATTTTTTCATAATGGAGGCCACTTTAACGACTTATTACTTTATTTAAGTCATCTCAGAATAAAAATTAGTATTCAAATTTAATATTTCTATAACAATCAAATGTCAAAACTAAAATTTCTTATTACAC